AATGAGGTTTTGTACTGTGTTAAGACAGGGAGAGTATGTTTCCCAATGTATTAAGATAGGTTAATCCAGGTTTCAAATAAATTTTGGTGCCCGATTTTCCATGAATTAGGATAGTGTTTAGATTTAACATGTTAATGCATTTATCCAGATTTAACCAGATTTTATAGACTTTATAGATTTATCTATGCATTAGGATAAGTAATAGACATTTAATGTATCAAGATAACGAATATGATCCTCATTGTATTCAGATAGGTTTCAGACGGTAACTTGGTAAGTTTCAGTATTTTTTTGGCTCCTAAAATTTATTTTGGCGCTCGAACTTCCAATAAAATCGTTTCCAATATAATTACTTCAATTTACATGTTTTGATTATTGTTGTATATTTTTGAAACTATGAAAAAAAACTATCTACAGCTCTATGAAACTTAACTGAAATTTGACAAAAAAAATTATGAGATGAAATTTTAAAATCACTTCATCACTATCAGTTATTTGCAAGTTCAAAGGTTTCGTGTGTGTTTCGTCATCCTGAACTTGTCTTTTTTGGGTAAAAACCAATCAACCCCTTTTTTGTCTGCTCGTTTCTAGCAATCATATGTTTTATGGATCTAAATGCTCTTTTGACTGAAATCAAGATGATTGAGAAACACTTTTGAACAACTTAACAAAAATAATGGTTACCTCATTTGGCTTTTCGAATATATATTACACGAGTTGTAAAGGCAGACAAAGGTTACATGCCTGATTGTCATTAAAATTTACTTTGAAACAGTTAAATTTTTATATATCAATCATGTTTTTTTTTCGCTTTTGCAGTTTAAGATCTACCTCCTGATACTTTCCATATGATACATGAATCGAATGTGTTTGACAATTTATCGGATTTACGTTTAAGTCAATAATAAACAAATATGATTTCGGGCTAGTGTACAAGTACTGCTTGTTATAAAAACCATTTTTAGAACCCTTAAACATGAACCTGAGAGATTTTCGTGAGACCTTCTGGTCTGTTTTAAGACTTCTATGAGCGGTAAAATTATTGCGTTGAGATGTTATTTGAAACTTAATAGCTGTATATTACGTTCGATAGATCTTTTTTGTTCGAAACGAAGTTGTCTAATAAAAACTGGTTGTCTGTTCGCGGCTGTTTTAGTAACTTTTTGGGGTAATTTATCCCAATATATTCGATAGTTGAAGAACTAACGGAGCGTTTTCCTCAATCTTATAGGCAATGATTCTTTACTAATTTTTAACCAGTCGTTAAGCTTTTCGAGTTCATTCATAGTTTTGAGATTTGACCTAGGTTTTCAGCCGTTTTTACGTTGCGTAAAGTGTCCTCTGGGCAAGTTTTTGGATTATTTTTATCCTTGTTTTGAAGTTTTCATAGATATGCATGTTTCACGTGCTAATCTTTTAGCGTCAATTCTACGCTCAGAGCAATTAATCTTTATAGTCTCTTCAGATCATTATCCAGTTGTTTCATGACAGTTTTGTTTGAAGTATCTTATGTTATACTCGATATTGAATACTAGGCTCCACAAATAATTTGTATACACGTATCAACTGCTTCTTGATAAGACTTTTTTTGATAAAATCAACCGCAAAATAATTTTAATTTCCTGCTGAGAATAGAAACGTGATTTTTTGAATCTCAAATCACTTTTGTTATTCCAGTACCTAAAAGAATCCCTACTTTCAGTATCATTTTGATTTATTCGCAGTTAAATAACGAGCCTCTGGTAATTTTTTTTGACTTTTTGATTCAACTGTTTTGGGGCTGAGAATGTTTTCATTCAGCTAACGTTTAGTTTTGTTTAGCATTGTTTGATGCCCTTGAGCTAATGAGTCATTTGATTCTGAAGTTAAAATTGGTATGTCGTCAGCATAAAGAAAAGTGCGAGTATTTTGTTGACTTGAGGATGAAACAATTTTGAAAAAAAAAAAGAAAAAATGTTTCTAAAACTGATCCACGTAGCCTTCCATGAAAAATTTTTTTTAATGCTTATTTATATTCACAAAAATTTGTAAATTGTGTCTTCTTTTCAAGGTGGCATGTCAATACTTAAAAAACATTACCATACAACCAATGATTTAGGAAATTGACTATGATCAACCCTGTCGAAAGCTTTTTAAGTTCAGAAACGGACATGTGCTGATTTCTTCTAATTTTACCACCCGCACCAGATCTTTTCGATAAGTAACACTACGCCATTAATTGAACTTTGATTTTGTCTGAAGCCAAAATGTGTAAAATATGTGGATTTTGAAAAAACTCGTTCTTTTGTATATTAGTTTTTCGAAAACTTCACGCAAAATAAGAAGTAAGGAAATTGGTCTGTACTTTTCTGGCTTACGTTTAGATCCCTGCCTTAGAACTTTTCAGTTTTTAATCACTCTGGGGTTTAGTTTTTTTCAAGAAAACTTTGGAATTTTTCTTTCAGCTTTGGGGCAATTTTTCAAATATTGATTCCATGAAAACAAGTTTCAAACTGACACGCTCTGTACTTTTTTTGATTTTAAAAATCGTTCCATTTCAAGAATTTTAAACTATCACAACCGGCCTTCAAACAATGTTTGTAATTTTTGTCGCCACTTCTCATGCTATGCTGGTTTTTTCATCACTTATGCTAATTTTTCTGCTTTGGTCGAAAGATAAATGTTGAAGCGTTTTTTCGTTCAAAAAAAATCTGCGTCATAATTTTTTGGTTTGAATCTAACGATTGACAATTTTGAAAAAAGTTCCTGCAATTTCTTTTTTTGGTTCTGTGCTAAATTTCTGGTGACAGTGTGATCTTTTCTTGTCCCCCATCAGATGCTTTAGTTTTTTGCCTGCTTTTTATAACTTTCACGGTTCAAGAAAATGTTTTATTTGTGATAGATTTGCCACAGTTTAGATTCCTGTTTGGCTGCGCTTCTAATGGTGTTACCTTCCCATACTTTCTTATTTGTAATCATTTTTTTTTCAGGTAAATTTGTTTTAAATGTTCAGTTAAAACTGCAATCAGTTTGCGAAATGCGTTTTCACAGTCAAGTAATGTGAAGATGTAGCGATCATGGGATAGTTTATCATGAGACACTCTCTGATTTTTTGCTTAAACGTAGGTTCACTCATTGTTTTACCATTTTATGCATGGAAAATCAACTTGAGTAATGATTCCAAATTGTTTTTTTCTGCTTATAAGAGATAGAAACGATCCAAAATTTGGCTTCCAGAGTTTTTAAACAGCCTCAATTATTTAAAAGAAAAACAAACATATTACCCATATTACCAGTTTTAATCAATTTGTTCACGTTAAGATTATCTTATGCATCAAAAATCAACTTGAATAGATGAACTTGAATAGATCAACTTTTAAGACAGAGAAATGATCCAAAGTTTGGCTTTCATTGCTTTTAAACAGCCTAAATACTTTAAAAAGAACAGATTACCAGTTTTAATCAAGTTGTTCTCGTTAGGGTGTTTTAGTGTCTAGCAACCTCATGCTATGCCCCAAAACTGTTTGAGATTTCAACAAATTTTGTCTAGGCTTCTGCAATGTTTGTGCTGAAGTCACCGCAAACAGTTTACGTCGCAACAGGAAGAAATTTTTTTTTCTAGTGTGGTTCCAATAGATTAAAGTTTGTTTACTAACCGAGATAGGCGGTACGAATACAAATAGTTTAAAAGAGTTTTTCGCTTTTGCTCTGATCTTTGTAGTGGTAATTTGCTTTTTGTTTGAAGTTGTTTCAAATAAAATATGATAAATTAAACCGTCACTGATGCTAAGTCCACTGCATCCGCCTCTTTACAAAAGAAAACTTGTCTCAATTTTATGAAAGTCGCTAATTTTGTCAACAGACTTTATTTGTTCATCTGTTAGTCAAGCTTCAGTTAAGCAAATTGCAATTGTTTTTTCATTCGAAGTTTCTTCTAGTACGCTGAGCGCTTCAAAATGTTTTTGGTAAATGTTTTTCGTAAAATGTTTACGGTATCGCGTAATTTGTAAAAGAACAGCATCCAATGCCTCGACTCAGACAGAATTTTGGGGTCATGCCATTTGTGGTCGGAAGAACAAACTGACAGCGCAACTTAAGAAAAGACCGAAGACGCAACTTAACTAAAGACTGAAGCTCGCACCGTTCGCGATGTTTTTAGTCTCGTTGGTCTGTAATTGCCAGATTTGGGTCGCAACTTTCTGATCTTATGTCGCGGACCTCGACCCTATTCCCCATGAATTGACCCTCTTCGACACTGTCGACCGTGTTCGACCCATGATTCGACACTGTTCGACTAAAGGCTTTGTTCGAACGTCTTTTTAATTTGCGACGAAAACCAGACGCCCGAGTCGAGATTTTTCACTAATTTGAAACAAGATTTGAGCGGTTTGAGCGGTTTTTTTTAGACAATTACGCTCATAATAATGCTTCAAAATGAGTGGTTTGAGCGATTTTTGAACGGTTTATACTTCCGGGAGTTTTTGCTATTCAAAAATAGTTACAGAAATCACCCAGACGCCAAAAGAAAACGCATATGGGAACATTGACGAAGTGTGCTGTAAAAGTAGAGTTATTGTAAAAGCATTTGCGAGTATTGTCCTTTTGATCAAAATACTTAAGGAGGTCAACCCGGGTAGTATTTCAACTGCATCTTATCATCACATTACCTTTCCAGGCCTTTTTGTTGGTTTTAATCGGTTGTTTTTATAGGACCGCTCAAAAACCGCTTAAAAACCGCTCGAAAATTGCTTGAAAAACCGTTCAAAAATCACCACAAGAAATGAGCGGTTTTTTAAGCAAGATTTGAGCGGGTTTTTTTTGAGCGCCCAAACAGTCCAAACCGCTCAAACCGCTCAAATCTTGCTGGAAAACCGCTCAAACCGACAATATCTTGAGCGGTTTTTGAGCGGGATCTCGACCCGGGCGTCGTCCAACTGTTTCAGTCAAATCATGAGTCGAATACCTCAGCCCGGGGGTCAGCAGATCAAATGTTCTATTACTAATATCTTCTCTTTTTTCAGTACAAAGATAGTGTGTTCGAAGTTCAGTCATCCTTGGGCGCGAACAATGTGTTCACGTCCACTCTCTGGTTCAAGAAGCTGCACAGAAGTGGCTCTGTAGGAGAGTATGCATGCGAGGTTCAAAATGCAGTCGGCATCAGCCGAGCGACATTCACAGTGGACGTTCACTGTGAGTATATCATCTCAAAACTACTCGGGTTGAGGTTGTTGTTTTATGATCAGACTAAATCTACACCCAGTTTTTATATTTCTAGTTTTTTCCGACCACCCGGGTCGAGATCCCGCTCAAAAAGCGCTCAAGATTTGAGCGGTTTGAGCGGTTTTCCAGCAAGATTTGAGCGGTTTGAGCGGTTTAGGCGGTTTGGGCGGTTTTTTTGGAAAAACCGCTCAAACCGCTCAAATCTTGCTTAAAAAACCGCTCAAAAACCGCTCATTGCTTGCGGTGATTTTTGAACGGTTTTTCAAGCAAGATTTGAGCGGTTTTTGAGCGGTTTTTGAGCGGTCTTCCCGGGTCGAGGTGCCAGACTCAACGTTTCTATTCTCTGCACGTTCATCCAGGGACGACCATGTACGAACACGTTCATCCAATGTAGTAACTTTCCAAAAAGTGCCCAAAAACAGCATTTTTGACCAGTATATTTGTTGTGCATGTCTAAAACATTGAACGTATTCAGTAGAACAAATACAGCGAATATTAAGCTTCCAGCAAGTCCGCATAGACTAACGGATAAGGCGTCTGACTTCGGAGCAGAAGATTGCGGGTTCGAATCCCTCTATGGTCGACTTTGTATTATTAAATCTTGAGCCGTTTTTGAGCGGTTTTTTTTTAGATAAACCGCTCAAAACCGTTCAAATCTTGCGCGGTTTTTGAGCGTTTTTTTTTAGATAAACCGTTCAAAAACCGCTCAAACCGCTCATTTTGAAGCAAGATTTTGAGCGTAATTGTCTAAAAAAACCGCTCAAACCGCTCAAATCTTGCTTCAAATTAGGTGAAAAATCTCGACTCGGGCATGTATTCTCGTCCAAGTGCATTTATTCTCTGAATTTGATATGTTCGTATGATTTATGTATTTAATTTTTTGCTGTGTTATTCGACATTTTTAGTACGATTTAGCGTGACGTGTAACATCAAAGTGATATCAAGCCGTCATCAACCAGTAAAACTTACAATCATGCGTTACTTTGTGCTGTCTTCTAGTCGCCCCCTGCTGACTTTTTAACAAAACATTGAATCGGTCAAATAAACCAGCAGATATTAGTTTCCTTTATAACAGCCAAACTGACATTTTCAACGGCATTGTTTAATTATCAAGCCAGGAGATAAAAGCAGCCAGCTTGATTTAAACAGCGAGTTAATAAATTGATTTTTTTCTGCCAAAAGTCGTCTATGTTAGGCTGCGGTTCAGTACCATTTCTGTGCACACTTTTATTCATACTCATTTCAATCAATTGTATCAGTTTGGAGCTGAAGGTCGTTGTCGACCTGTCACACGGCGGTTAAGTTACTGCTTAAGTTTCTATTCACTCATTTTCAACTTATGTAATTTTTACGTCGATATAAATTGTTTTGTCATGACACTATTTATATAGTTTACTTATCTACATATCTATATCTCTAAGATGAATTAAGTCTTGATCTTAGTTTTATTTGAGTCTACTGAGATACAACATGGCACAACCAGCAGTTCCGGTCTCGGACCACGGAACTGACCTGCAAGATGTATCCGTATTCTGGCACAAGCCGACGTCTGATTCGTCTAGCAGCGGGAATTCATGGATTGGACAATTTAAGTTACCCTCACTTGACAAGTTTGCCATCAAGTTGCGGGAGAGATGTGACCCCCGAGAATTGTTAAAACCGCCAGGAGTAGTTCATGACGACCCGCCTTCAGATCCGGGAGCTGTGAGGATGCGACTGCGACTGCGACCGCCAACCGCATCGCGCGTGACGCGGCAGCAGTTCGCATGGTCGATGAAATCAATGACGAAAAAAGGCCGAAAGGTCCCAGGATTGCACCTGGAGTTTTCTTTCATAAGAGGGAACAACGCATCAAATCCAGATTTTTTTCTGGGTTTCGACGGCAGGAAACCTTTTGCTCACATCTATCCACACGTAGACCTTAGTGCTAATTCGTTCAAAGAGCTTTATGATACATGTGTTCTAATATTCAAGAAGGAGAAGAACTATATCATAGTACATCTACAAATCTACAATGCAGTCCACTCTGATCTTGAGTGTCTGGAAGCCTTTTTCTTACGTCTAATGTTTCAGGCAGTCCTGTGTCGTTGGACAGTAGCACAACAGAAAGAGTTTGTGAGGGAGAGTTTAATTGCCAAAATTCACTTTAAGTACATCCAACGTGAATTGTGTATTATCCCGCCAACACTCCAGAAGAAACTCTGAAGTCCGATCTGCTACTGGAAAAAATTGCCCAGGCGGCTCCCAGTTTTTAAAAGCAACTAGGAAACTCGACAGTAGCGGGCAGCGCGTCCCATCAGGGGTCAAGTTCCGCTCAAAACTTCCGGGTTAAGCAAAAACCTACCTACTCAGTTCAGAGTAAGACATTCTCGGAGAAGATCAACCGAGCCCAATCAAATTCTAGTGGACCCAGAGGGTGGAACAAATTCAAAAACATAAAAACCGTGCTAATTTTGCGGGAATAATTTCACAGCAAATCATAAACAAAGTTGTCCAGAAAATGTAACGTGCATAAATTGCAGTAATAAGGGTCATTTTGCGAAATGTTGCAATTCCAAAAGCATCGATAATGTGGATTGTGAGTCAGATGAAACAATTGAAGAAGGTTGTAACTTCAATACTTCTGTTAGTTAGTCGGAAATTGCGGTGCGTGCTGACGACGGGATTTCCCATTCTAAAATCAAGTTCATTCTACTACAGCCTCAGTGAAGAAGTTAGAAGTAATAAATGCGGCTACCGGTAATTTTAGCTGTGTACAAATCACCCACCGGTGCAACCAGTTTTCTTTAAAGCCACATTGATACGGGCAGCCCAGCTTTGCTTGTGAATAAACGAACAACGGAATACAAGGTTAATTCAGTGCCGTCAGCTGTTGTACTAGATGAGAAGGACTGCCCGAGAGATACGGTGTACGTCGACTATAATTGGAAACGGATATAAGTTTTCGGCATGCTGATAGTTGACGTGCCATTTTGGGTTGGAAGGTAAATTCAACAAAATTCGTTGTGTCGGAGAACCGTACCCGATGTCTGCTTGTTTCAGAGCTTCAAACTCAGTTAGGGGTCCGAACGAAACAAGTGAAGCCGTCTAGCCCATTGGTGGACAGAATTTCCAATTCAAACTAAGTGAAAAATCGGAATTTTGGAGATCGCACCTTCTCCTTAGTCAGGAGAAGGTCGGAAAAAAAATTGTAAACTCATCCAGAAGGGACACATTGTAAAACTCACTATGTATACCTGTAAAACTCAACATGTTTACCAGCGAAAATTTCATCTCACCGATTGTCATAACTACGAATATAGATGGAACAGTTAAGTTGGCAATGGATGCAAAGCCCATGCATGACCAAATTCGGAAAAATCAGTATCAGATGCAAAATTTATCGAAATTGTTGGACTCGGCTGCCCAGATTATACGTCGAATAAAAGTGACAAAGTTTGGTTCGTTCGTTGGATCTGAAAGACGCGTTTAGCCAAATTTCATTGAATGATGCATTTAGTAGTCATTGTAATTTCAATATTGTGTGTGGAGAACAGATGGGCACTTATTGTTCCAGGACGGGCTTTTATGGACTTACTGATCGCTCTAAAAATTCCAAAAGGCGATGGATAAAACTCTTTTGATGGGAGTTTTCTGTTTTTTGGGCGAATTTCTTTTTGTCTCTAAGGGTTCAGAGGTCGAGCATAATTGCCTAGTGGAGACGATTTTCATTCGGCTAGATGAAAAAAGTTTCTCCCTCAATTGATCAAACTGTGAGTTTTTGCTAAATCATCTGTCATGGCTAGGATTTCGCATTGGTTCCAAAACTTATCGCTTCATACGTTCAAAAATCGGTACTGTGTTGGCTCTCGAAACTCCACGAACGTTAAAGCAACTCAGGTCATTCATGGGTATCTCTAACTACTTGCAAAGAATTTTGCCCAAATTTCAGATCCGTTCGGACCAACTCCATCCGTCGTTAAAGGCGAGTAACAAGAACAAGTTAGTTCGGGGAGAATCTAAGCAATATGCTTTCACCAATATTCTCAAATTTATCGGTAATATTACGAAAAAGTACACTAAATGCAGAATCGTAGAACCAGCATTAAATGAGATGCCAGTTACAGTGTTTTGGAAGTGGCTCTCAAACAAGAGATAGACGAAGAAAAATGGGCGCCGATAGCCTTTGCTTCCCGTTTCTCAACGATCAAGAGAAAAATCTAGCACGATTGAACCGGAATTATTTGCCATCATTTTTTCATGTGAGTAATTCTGGAATTGTTTGTTGGGTTATCATTTCGAAATTTTAACAGATCATAAAGCGATAATATCAGCCTTAAAGACAAATAGGGGTTACAAAATCTACCAATCCCGATAAACCCGTTTGGCAGATTTTTCCTTGTCAATTGATTTCGACATTATTCTTATCTTTGGAAGCCAATTGGGAATATTCGATTAGTTATATCGTTTTCGAACATTCGAAGCTCCTTTCGAACATTCGAAGCTCGTTTTGACGATTAATATGTGATTAAATGTATTAACCAAGTGTGAAATCCTTGACCGCTGGGTTCATAAATTTCCAGCTACAACCGAATCGGCGTATATTTGAAGAGTTCCAGGGTGATTTCTAACCCTTATAAAAACCAAATTCAGATTTCAATCTTTCACGTTAATTCAATTTCTCTGTTTAATCAATGCTCTGGTTGGGATGGGTCATCCAATGCTATAGGAAGCGACAAATCAGATTTCGGTTTTGATTGGCGAAGTCGACCGCTGGAGGGCGGCAATTCGCGTGTCATTCGTTCGACTGTTAATTACAATAGTACACAAACTCAGTCGCCACAAGAGAGCGGCTGTTCCAACGACAACTTTTCTGACCGATCAGAGCGCAGCGATACTTGCTTTGGCTCATCGAAAGAGGGCGATTTAATTTTTGAACGTCATATTGACCAATCGCAGTTCATCTTACTTAATTTATTCATGAAAGCCAT